ATATATATATACTTATCAGTATATACTTATGTGTATCACATACACAGAGGCTAAATGTACTATATATATCTATATGTGTCTATACACACAAAATTTATGTTACACACATACAAACCTGTATATTTGAAATCATTCATTGCAAATCCAAACTACTTGTGGATTGTACATGATTTAAGATTATCCGTACTTATGTCTTCCATTTCTGGGGACAATTGATAGTTGGTAGTAGAGTAAAACTAGAATTTATTTGACTTTAGGTATACTTGAGAGGCATGGAGTCTAGAAAGTTACAGACTTGGAGTCAGAAAATCCAAGTTCAAATCCTGCCTCGGATGAATAATGAGCTATGTGACCATGGTCAAATCCCTTAACGTTTCTGGACCACAGGCAGCTCTGAGACTTACCTACTCAATTTTAGATAGGTGGAAATCTGTCAATGCAGTGACAGAATCGTGGATCATTGATTATTGTCATAGACTTTAAACTTCAAATTTATTGTAAGTACTTTTGAAATTGTGTCGTAATGCTTGTGATGGCAATTCATTAGAATTTCGTTTATGGAATTCAAGTCTAAAGTTTCCTAAATCGGTTGAGGTAATAGGAGTTGATATAATCTGTAAAAATACTGGCATGAGTTATTTATTTTCTGCCACTGACAGTTTCCTGATTTTTTAAAAGAATCTTTCCAGTGATTTGAAGTGCTGGAAATAACTAATGCCCTAGATCCTTCTCCGAATTCCTCACTATGACCTTAGTCATAAGAGGGTTAGGGGCTGTAGATAAAGCTTTGTGTTTGTTTTGGTGTTGTAGTGATGGAGGTGGAGTGGTAGTTGCAGTCGAGTACCCTTTATGAACAATAAATGTAGGACTTTATTAGTAGATCAGATCTCAACTCATGGCACATATGAATTATATGTATTATATGTATATGTATATTATATGTATGTGTATTTTTTTTTTTTTTTTGGTGAGGCAGTTGGAGTTAAATGACTTGCCCAGGGTTACACAGTTAGTAAGTGTCAAGTGTTTGAGGCCAAATTTGAACTCAGGTCCTCCTCTACTGCATCACCTAGCCGCCCACGTATGAATTATATGAGTGGTTATTGCTCTCACCACAAAGGCACAACTACTATCTCTTAGTCTTTGGAACAGTATTAGCTTTATGCATTACATAGAGAAAACTGTATGAAATGACAGCATGCTATAGCATGAATTGATAGGTATACCTAGGTTGTGTAATCTTACATCATAAAATTTCATCATTTTTCTCCTACAGAATGATTTTAAAATTTAATCAGTCAGCTCATAATTCAGAAGCAACATTCTGTGCATATGGAAAGCTCAGAACATCAGGAAAGAAACACTAAATTTTGTAGGTAGAGGATGATAAATGAGTTCTAATACATAGATTACTTGAAGAATCATCTTTGTGTTTGAATTTTTCTTTAGGTTTTTTTTCCACCAAAGTATAATAATAAATGGTAAGAACTTTGGGCCTTTACATATTTTTCTACAGGCATCAGAATTTTTCCAGTAGAGGTAGGTAAATTGAAATATATATATAGAGAGAGAAATTTAAGCATGAGAAAGAATACTAAGGCAAATGGTTAGGTGAATTTTGTCTTGTTCTCCCACCAGATAATTTTCCAGCCCCATTCTAGGTTTAGTTATTAATCAAATTATTCAGCAAATGTTTGTTAAGTGCCAGGCTCTGACTACCATGTAGGTCTGCTCAGTGGGGTACCAGGAAGGCTCACTTAACCTCCAGGAAATTCACTCTTGGTTATCTTTAGGCAAGAAAAACCTATAGTGCCTAGATTGAACTAGTCTATCTTAATACATATGGGGCAGCTAGGTGGTTCAGTGGATAGAGCCCCAGACTTGGATTCAGGAAGACTCATCTTCTTGAGTTCAAATCTGGCCTCGGACACTTCCTAGCTTTGTGACCCTGGGCAAGTCACTTAACGTAAAATGGGTTGGGGAAGGATATGGCAAACCACTGCAGTATCTGTGCCAAAAAAAACTCCAACTGGAGTCATGAAGAGTTGGACAGGACTGAACAACAGCAACAACAATCTTAATTACAGACCTGAAATTGTCTACTTTAGAACACTAATGACTTGTAACAATTCTCCATCATCATCATCATCATCATCATCAAGATGTTTTTGTCAAGGACTAATGTTCTGTAGTACCATTCTAGAAGCTGTTTAGGTATAATCAGTCTTTCCCCCCTCTAGGAACAAGTAATCCAAACACCTAGCCCTTGCATAAAAAAACCAAGAATTCTATCTCCATAGAGTAAGAACAGTAATCATCCCTACATAGACCATAACAAGATTTATTTAATATGCACACCAAAGAGAACTTCAAATTTTCTGGACCTACTCGAAACCTATAGACTAGTGTTAGACTGTGGATATAAATAGAGGACAAATTTTTTTGTGGGCAAAATCTATCTATTTATCTCTCTATTTATCATTTTTCTATCACCAAGCACCTACCACAGTGTTTGTATGAAGTAGATGTTTAATAAATATTTGGTTTGAATTGAATTGAATCATATTTGCATTCTTCATGTCAGTAACCGTAAAATTAAGGTCATAGTAATTAAAAGAAGACATGTTCATTATATAGGTTAAAAGAAAGAGGAGCTAAATGTAAAACTTAGGCCTTCTATCTCCTTATCTTCTTTCTGACTTTTTATTCCTTTTCACAATTGAGTACCTGGTTATGATTCTAATAATGTTTTAGTTAATTTTGTAACATGGAGAACACAAATACAGTGATTAAAATTATGACACTTGAATTGGATCTGAATAAAGGCATTATAGGTTTTTCGGCATAGTAGCACTAACATCCTAATGGTAAACAATTCTGTTTGAATTTTAATAGCCTAAACCTAGTTTCTGACATTTTCCAGAATAATTTAGATCTTGTTCATCTGCGTAGAATTTTTGATGCTATTCCTGTTAGCTTTTAGTGGATGGTCCTTTTAAAAGTCTAGTTACATGTATCTATTAAGTATACACTTACATGTATGTTTTTATTTAGAAAAGGGAAAAGGTTTAGAACTTGGTTCTTAATAATTATAAAACAATTCACATTTAGATAAAGCATATTACTTCAAGCTGTCATAAATTTTGCAAACCATAGTCTATTACTCTGATGCTACTTTCCATGTGTTCCTTTTGAAGTTTTGTTAACTTTTTTTGTTTACACATATTAAGATATTATATTTTCCATTCTGAGATTAAACAGAAAATCACTGCTTGTACTATTGTAAAGCAGCACCCTATGCGTAGCCATCCTCTTTTTCT